CAGCCAGCATGGCTGGCTGGGGAATTCTGGGAGTTGAAGTCCACATATCTTAAAGTTGCCAAGGTTGACAAACACTGTTTTAGGAGAATAAGATACAGTTGTGCTCCACTGGAATTTATAGGAAATCTTCCTCACCCCCTTTTAAATGTACTTCTAAAATGATTTTCTTAAAAAAAATCAAAGCTGATGGAATTTGGCAAGTATAAAGCTCTGGGTGGAAAAGTTACCGCTAATGGCGATTGATAGGTCTTTTACGGAATATAGACACTCTCTTTACGCCTTATATCGCTGAAATGATGGAGTACATGACACGTTCACGACTGCAGAGACAAGGCTACACAGGAAGGAGAAACTCAGATCAGATAAACATGAATCAATTTTTATCTGATCTGAATTACATCCGGTCTCCTTCTTTACTCCATTAAAAACAGCACGTGTTTCAGAATTAAATTCCAGCAAAGTCACCAAGTGGGTTGACTCTGCTAACAAGCCAGCCAGGAAAATGAATCGCATCTCCAAGAAGTGAACGAACCTCCTTTTTCATTGATGAGACACCATAAAACACAACTTGAACACACTGCGACAACTACTACCACTTGAAAAGCGTCCAACGAGACGTTGATTCAATACTTACTCCTTCAGCTAAGCATTTCTTAGAATCAAATGGAGGGCAACCAGTGATCTTCCTCTCCCAGATAAAGTCGCCTTTCTGGTTCACCTTGCAAAGATGAGTGTCACATCCATCTCGGACTGTTTCATTTGGCTGTAGAAGGATCCACACTTTTTGTTAAAATGAGGTTTTAACAGGCCAGAGGGGGGCGGTGGTTGTTTTTTTTTAAGATACAAAAAGGCACCAAAGAAAATCCGAAGCCCATCTGACACGTTTACAAAAGCTCGATTATTCTTTGTGTGTATTTGTGGGACATACACTTATTCCCTGATGTGTGCGTTATGTGGAGCATAACACATGTTTGAGATGGAAGGCCTGGCAGAGCCGGGCAGGCATCGCGCGTTGGGTGCATCCTGTGACGATGAGGATGATGGAGGCCTTCAGCATTGCTTGCCACCTGTGCCTGAAAGCTGCCTAATGAATATATGATTGAGCTTTACTATTCAGATCTAACCCAAATAATAGATGCAATGCATTTACTAGGCCATCTCATATTTTTTATTTATCGCTTCACTTTGTTCCATGTTTAAGGTAGCTAAGAAAATTTAAAAAAACAATAAATTAAAAGGATTAAAAACCAAATGCTGCTAATATTAAAATTAGTGGAGGACTGAAAGGAACGTGACAAAAGAGATGAGTGCATTTCCTCCACATCCCAAGTGGGCAATCTTGTGACAGCAGCATCTGTTCTGCAGGTCTTAACACCCAGGAGAATTGTGACAGGGCAGGTTCGTGGGCCGTATGGGGTTTGAGGGTCAGTGTCAACTCTTTTGACTGTGACAGGTAAGCAACCGGCAGGTCCTTCAGGACCGGAATCGGGTGAATCAGGTGATCCTTGGAGTGCAACACTCAAACCAGGATTTGCATAACTCTTTTCAGATCTGACTGGCTGAAGAAGGGTCATGCTATGAAAAATTGCGCAACACCAGAAGTACCACTTGAGAATTTAAGGACAGCAAAGGATCGAGTAGCTCTCCCAGACGGCGGACCTGATCCTCCGGGAGAAATGGAACTCCACCCAGAACCGCCATCCCCCGTATTAGTAGCACCACCTTGTCTGCGTTTCAGCCGGTTTCCTCTTATCAAGCCTTATCAAGAACCAAGGTAGCATTCAAGGGGACGGCCTGTCTCCTTGGAGTTGGATGAGACTGTCCAGCCCCACAGAGATGGCACGCTCAAAAAGCAAGAACAATGTGGGTTTCGGGAAAGCATCTTTAATGCCAGTCAGGGGTAAAACCATACTCTTGAAAACTATGAAAGTTCCCAGGCAGACTTAGAGCAAGCCAATTAAGTTGGAGTCTCTAAAACGTTTCCTTCCCACGGCCCCCACCTCTGGGTCAACCATCTGGGCCATGCCTGATGGTTTAAAGCAGAGATCAGGAACCTTTCCAGTTCAGGCACTTCTTTTTCCTGACAATAAAATAACGTTTAAAGAGAGTGGCTGAAATCTCCAGAAAATTTAGTTACTGCACCATAAAGTTCAGTGTGAAAATGTCAAAATCTTTTAGGATTTAGTGATTTCACAAGATTTCAGCTGTGGGCATTACTAGAGACTCTCATGTGGTCACAGATTACGTTACCAGCCCCCCGCATAGAATAAAGTGATTTAAAAAGATCTGGTTTTTTTCCTCCTACAGCAGAAATATGCCTTCTTTCTATGATCTGATCCATTAATACAACACAGCGCATTTATCTCCTTGACACCTCTCTCTACGAGCACCAGAAAGTTGCCAAACTGACGCAAATATGAAGGACGATTCCCTCTCTCTGTCTAGATTGCATTCTCCTTTGCACAAAGGCGGAAAATAACTCTGTTTTCCAATTTCTTCAACATATTTGCCTGGGAAAAGAAAATACTAGGTGCACCCTCGCTCCGGAGGATCTCAAGGGGAGGTTCACTTTTTCCATTTGAGCCCGGCCCCTCAGGGGAGGAGGGGGCGGAAACGCTGTTCGGTGTGCAGACCAGGGAAACAGCACAAGGTACAAACCTCCTCCTTGGAAAGGCACCGGCTGCATGTTGTGCTTCAAGGGCGGTGGACACCAGCCGTCCCTTCCTCCAGCTGGTCTCCAGGTCACTTGGGAGCCCAAGAACTCCCAGGTACCGGGGCCAATAAAAACGCCACTACTCTCGCTAGCTGGGTGTCACAAAAACCCGCAGTGTCTTTTCCTCCCATCCAGAGTTTCAGATGAGGGGAAATACTCTGCAGGAGCCCAATTTTTGTTCATGGGAAATGTTCTGGAGACTGTGCAGAATCACCTAACGTTGCGGGAAGTGCCTTTGCGTGACTGTCGAGGAGGGAGGTGGACAGCAGGGCAAACCTATCAGCTGGAAAACCCACGGGAACACTACTGACCTTCAGGTACAAAATGGTTCCGTCCCGCAGCTGGATGTTGCACCGAGTGGGCAAGCATTTCCCACAACAGGAGCCAGAGGTTTTCTCCATCCTGTAATTCTGCAGGTCCAGGGATAACACCAAAGGTGAATTTTAAGCATCGATAAATACATGACATTTAATCTCATTCATCTCTGTGTTACCTCACCTTTGTTCTAGCTCCGTATTGCTTTGCAAACCTTTTTAGATGAAAATCCATACATCTTTTTACAAGCAAATTCAAGGTTGTTCCCCCCCCCCGCCGCCCCCAGTAGTTTCTTCCTTATATGCTTTTTGCCTGCATTTCCCTTTAATAATATACACGGCAAAATCTGGAAAAAAATGGGACTATCAACGGGCCAGGATAGTATCGTGTTCACGTTAGGGAAAAACAGACCAGTTAAGTTTGCCTCGAGAAGTGAGGCTCGTTCCTCCGAGCCGCGCTCCCCTCCGGTGGAGCTGAGGACGCCCGATCTGCCACCCCGCCAGCACGTCCTTAAGGAGAGTGGCAGAGATTAACGTCAATGGCCCGCCTCCCGTGGGGACTTCTGATCCCAACTGAAGACATCCCACACCATCTTCCTTGACAACTAGCTATCGCAGGTAATAGTCCATGAAGGATTCTGCTCTGCTGAAACCCTTCTGCAGCAACGGCGTGGAAAACGGCCCTCGTTTCGCTGCTGTCATCGATAAACATGTGAATTGGTAATTAGCGGTGGGAGGGGGCATACTTTTATCCCTTTGTCCCCCTTCCCTTTTCATGCAGTGACTCGGACACAGGAAGCGAGGGTCTTTGATTCGGAGGAACGCCCTTCGCATCCAATCGTCTCTCCCAATAGCTGCTTCTGAGATGTTACAACGACAACAGAGGGGATCAACAGAAAACCCAGGGCTCGCTACGGTCTCCCATCATTTGCTCAACACGGGAAAGACAGCGTGGTGTACGTAGTGCTAAGATCATTGGACTAGGGCAGGAGAGACCCAGGTTCAAATCTCACTGAGTCACGGTCTCTCAGGTTAATCCGGGAATGGAATAAACACGGGATGCCTTGGGCAGCCCTGCAAAGTTCATGAGGAGATCTGAAAGTAAACAGTACAAATAAGGAAACAGTTTTTATCTTTTTCTTCTTGTTATTTTAAAAACTAAAATAGTTTTCACTTGCAGGCTTCCAGCTGCAATATCCTGTGTTTATTCAGAAATCAGAAAAAATGTCCGTGGCAGAACTAACTAAATTAATGGCATTATCAGATTAAAGCTTGATATTTTTCCCCACGGATGTCATAATCAGGGACATTTAGAAAGTTTTATGTCAACCTTCACAGCTAATATGATTTTTAATATTAAAGGTATTTACTTTTATTTCATTTTCCATCAAATATTTTGGATCAAGCATTGCGAGAAAGTAACAGTCGAGAGTGATGCTAGGATCTAAAACTGAAGCGGGTCTCTCTCTGCTTTGCATCCAAAATTGTGATGTTATTTGTTTTATGGTGATCTATGACCGAAAATAAAAGCAAGCAAACGTTGGATCCAGGCTTCTCTCGAAAGAGGAGTTTGCAGCAGGTGGAGACCTTGAAAGCAGCAATTTTGGGATCTTTAAAGCAGCTGCATCTTTCGCCAGGCTTGTTTGGCTGCTTTGGAAGCAGCTCTGCATGTTCTACCAACTGACGTGGTGGTCATGGATGCCTGTGTGGAGACAGCCAGAGAAAAGATGCAGCTGCTGCGATGACTCAAGGTGGTGTGCTCTCTACGTGCTCTCCTATGTTCCCTTGCACCTCTTTGGAACAGCCCTCTCTGAACATAACCTGCTTAGCCACTGGGTGCCTGGGGCTTCCAAGTGGGGATGGACTCTCCGCGCTAACCTGAGATCTTTAGAAGTAAAAGAGTCCTGCTCAGTTCCTGGTGATTTCATGGACAGGCCTCTGTTCCTTTCTTGGCTACAAAAAACTTTCCAGGGTTCTTTTCAAACTCCTGGTCTGGCCTACAGCCCTGGGTTCTCTTGTGGTCTCCCATCCAAGAACTAACCAGGCCAGAGGCTGCTTACCTTCTGCCCCAGACAAGGCTAGCCAGGCACTCTCACCTGCTGAGGCCCTTTGGAAGGTAGGCATGATACCAGTATCACACACACACGAGAAACCTCCATGAGCTTCTCCCCTTCAAGCAGTAATCCATAATTTAGGGTCATGGGCACAAGTAGGTTTCAGCCTTTGCAAAATACTTGGCTTACCTCTTCCCAAATACAGGTAAGAATAAATAGTGTGGTGGTTGGGAATTTCATGTCAGCAGATTCCTGGTTGGTCTTTGTGTGAATGAAGAATTGAAACTTCCTGATCCTGGTTTGCTAAACAAATCCCATGAACAATCCATGGTTTGAAATTATACAGCTGATCGGTGAAGAGGTGTTGTTTTGTACAACCAGGAATCAATTCGTGTGAGACTAAATTCTAGATTGTTCAAAAAGGACATGGGAAAATTTGGGGAGAATGCAGGGCCTGAACCAGCCCCTGTGCGAGCAGTACTGACCTATGGTGGCACTTCCATATCCACCCCAAATTGAAGACCTTCCCCTCCAAGATGGCTTCTGCTTTCTGTAATTCCCAGGAGGCCCTTTAGTGCAGATCTAACATGTACTTCAGGGTATACAAACTGAGAGCCGGCATGGAAACCAGTGATGTTTAGAGAAACCACCATCGATTATGTCACCTGCTTGACTTTCACTGAGACAAATCATATGTTGTGTATTTCTGGGCCTTTTTAAAGAGTTCATGAAAGTAAGCGCCTTCTGACAGAGCTGTGCGTGTGAAGACCAAATGCTGCAATTTGGAAGGGATGAGAACCTTCAAAGTCTGGAGAGCTCCTGGAGCATGATGTCTCTCTCTTACCTTGGGACAAGGTTCGCAAGTAATTTTCCCACATGTCAATTTATACGTCAGATACAGCCCCTGCTGTGTGGTACACTGGCAACTGGTGCACTGATCCAGCAACATGCGTTTCCCTGGCTGAAAAAGGAGAACATGTTTGCTATGGTTAGTGATCGTGCCCATCATTAGAACCACAGAGAATGGACCATTCATTCCCACCGCACCATTTCTTGCAAAGTTAAATGCAGATACTTCCATTGGAAGAGGAGAAAAACGAGGATGCGTAGCTCAGCAGCAGTGGGTCCACCTTGAAGCAGAAGCTTCCAGGTTCGAATCCTGGGTCCCCAGGTAAGGCTGACACCCTAGTTTGCTAGACCAGTCCACCCAAGTCAGGGAGGAGGAAGCTGCAGCCCTGATTGCATTGCTGAATTGCAGCTCCTAACATCTGGCTGCTGGGAGTTATAGCTCCGTAGCATCAGAAGAGCCACTTGACTGCAGATAGCGTGTGCTAGCTATTGGCTTACATTGCTTTTTAACCCAAGAGATTTGGCTGCTCTGAATCTCCAGGATAAATTCCAATCTTCCCGGCAGAAATCACTTTCTCACACCCAAAAGTATTGTGGATTTTCACCTAATGCACTGACCTCAATGGGTTTTGAATGGTCCAAATCCAAATCTTTCTTTAAGCAATGGGCCAGAGAGTGTGACCGCCAGATGACTTTGGCCAGGCTCCACCTTACTTTTCCCCAGGAAGGTCAGGCGAAAGCTTTGCACCACCCATTATTCGCTTAACGTCACATCCAAAAATACCAGAAGAGCCTTTACCTCGCCTGTCGTCACGCCCTTTGATCTGCTCTTTTGGGTGGCAGGAAAGGACGGTGCCTCTGTCCATGGGGTGAGGGGGAAATTGAATATGTGGGTCACGTGCTGCTGCGCTGCCTCTTTTATACAGAAATTTGGGCCATGTCGTTTTCTCCGATGCAGCACAATATTTAAGCAAGACTAGGATGACGAATCCTACCAGCTGGCCAAGAGGTGATCAGTTCTGCCCACTGGCTATGCTGGAACACAAGTGACTGCTTCAAGCGGCGTAAGTCCAAGTCCTGTTTTTTGCTAACGTAATTCTATATGTATTTTTGGTATATTACATTAACCACATTCGGTCCTGAAGTATCTATTTTATTGCTATTTTATTTTTAACTTGCTCTGGTCTGTGACACTGGCGACAAATTAAAAAATAAAGGGAAGGCCACAGTTTTCCCCAGCTGGCCAAGACAATATTGGGCTGAAATGATCAGTGACCTCAGTATACAAGGGAGCGTCCCATGTAGCAGTCCTCCATTTTTAAATTCACTTGTATTCGCTTCCACCCCTGGTTACGAATAACGTTACTGACAGTACTGGGCACGCAATGTGCAAAACCCGTCCCCGTTTGTTAAGCGATCCCATATTAATATCACTGGTTTCAAACTAGGCAAATGGTCCTCAATATCGCTGCTATTATAAATAGAGCACTAGTGTTCCTGCTTCCTAGCTTTTCTCAACCGACTCCAAACTGTGCAGTATATCCAGAAATATGTAAAGGAAGCCCACGGGTAGCCCGTCAGGGAAGATGGCCCCAAGAGAGGACTTGGAAAGGACCTGACGACAACCATCAAGCAAGGAGCTCCGTGGCTCTGGATTCCCCTTCTCAGGCCTGCAAAGCCCTATGTTTAAGAGGGATTTACAGATGTGGCATTTCCACAGAGGACAACCCTCTTACATTACAGCAATCTCCTCCCTAACTCAGTGGCTCAGGTTTCCAGAGAAAGCTTCCCATTTCCAAACTAGTTTGTTTGAACAGCAGTGCAGAAGTCAGCCGTTTGTTCTTTAACTCAGAATCATGTTTTAGCAGAATAATTTTGTGCATAATGTGCGTTAGCAAAATGAAACATCTGCACAGGTCGGCATGAAAATGCCACCTGGAATAAAACAGTATCTTCTACTGGATGGGCCTGTGTGATGGAGTGGAAAGGCCAGGCTCAGGGAGATAAACATTTTCTTAGCTCACCAGAAGAGCGTGGGAGGAACAAGAGGATGAGACTGGCACCTCCCTGAGGAATTCACACTGTTGTGGCTGGGGGGCTTTGGGAGGTGGGGGTTGAGTCTGGGAAGATTCTTGCTTGAGGTTGTAGCTAATAAACATAGCTGGACTGAATTGGCACTGTCTCTTGGAGTTCCTTGGGGTAGGCCTGACAGCCTGGACTATAATCCCCCAGGCACAAGGGGATTACTATGACAGTGTTGGTCAACTTTTAATGAACAGATTTCTTTTTAAAGGCCTTGTCAAATACACCTTCTGACTACCGATTGGCTCCTTCAACATCTGCTGACACACTGTTGGCTGATGCATCCCCTAAACGTCCACATCGAGGCAAGGAGCGCCAGCCTCTTCCTTAAGCACTGGGCTCAGTAACAGCCTGGGAGACCAGACGACCATTGCAAGGCAAGTCCCACGTGGCAAGTCAAACCATCAATGGCTGGCCATTTCAGTGCTGTGAAATGAATGCAGTGACGCCAACCGTGGAAGGACCAAGTTGGACACTGGATACCAGGTGGAAATATAAAGGGACAGAACAAATGGTCCCATTAAGATGACGGCAGCACAGGTCTCAGACCACGGAGCCGTCAATGGATACGTTCCCGGGGGGAGAGGAAGAAAGGGGGGAACGTTTTCTTTCTTTCGGGAAACAGTTTAAGTCTGATAAGCTTAAGGGTGGTCCATATAAAGTACTCATTTCATGCAACTTATTGGAAGGAGCAAAAGCTGTTCCTATTCACTTTCTTATGAACTTTGACCGTTTTCTCTCTGCAGTCCACAGCTTGGACAGGTGCTAATTATGATATAGTAATAGGAAGAAAACAACGATGGATAAATTTATCTTGCTGTTTATTTTATATGGCACATCATGTGGCTGTTCTATTTTTCATTTCTTGACTGTAAATTAATTTTTAAAAAAAAACCCGAAAAAGGGATAGACTGTGGAATAAAAGTCTTGCTATATAAAATGACTCATATTTCCCCTACTAAATTTATAGCAGAGGATGTTGATGGGGATCTGAACTTGATTACTGATTAGAAGTTTTATTCTGTACTGTGCTATTGTTCGATAATTCTATAGGCGTGTCTGCGAAGGGGGGCAAGATCTCCAAAATGGCAGATGCGGTGTCACGATCTGAGCCCTGACCCTTCTGTACCTGCCCGAGTGCGTCTGCCCCTGACTGCCAACTGGGAATCCAAATTCTCAATACGAAGGTCATTGAAAGAGGTCATCAACTGGAACCTTACCGCAAGAACTGTGCCATTCAAGATACAGCCGTTCACGGGTTCTGCAAGAGAGATGTTGTGTTTATTAGCCTCCAGATCTTCCATAGGACTGTTAAACGCTCAAGAGCGACTGCATTTTTCATGCTTTTTCTGCTCTCTTCCTTGGATGCTCCTTTTTCCTTTGGGCAACTCTTGCTTCCCATTTAGAAGCAATCCAGCCTTTGAAACACTTGGTAGTTCCTCACCCGATTCATTCAATTTCCCCAGTTTTCTTGACTTTCAGGACTGCTCAAGCCACTCCAGTCAGGTGGAGAGAGACAACGGTGGTTCAGGGCCCGTGGCAGGAGCCACCGCTGGGTCTTGTGCAGCACGTTCTGCAAGCGTTTGAAGGGCTTCAAAAACCAACAAGTCCAGAGAAGCGGGTTCACTTCTTCCAAGTTTAGATTGCAGAAATAGTCAACCATCTGCAACCACCACAACAAAAGCCCGTTTAACTTTTAAGAGGAGGCAGCAGCGAATGAGGAAAGGAGTTACGTGGCTTTTTACAGGCCACAGTAGCTTTACCAATCTCCTCAAAATGAGTCCTGATTTTCGGTGCTAGCTCTACCCAGAGCCCAAGTAACGTTCCAGAGCCCCTGTGGAACCACTCGATGACTTCCACCACCTGGCACCTTTATTGTTGTGCCAGTTCCAGGAATGGGGAGATTAATGCTTCCCGGAAGACAGCAACGTCTTTAATTTACCTATGCATGGCATGGGGCTTGTCATCAAACTGGAAAGGACCAGTTCATCAAGAAGAACCAGCGTGACCAAACCGAGATCCATTTGCCTTAGGAACTTCTTTCCAACGGTATAAACAGGGTACTTTTGGTAAGCCAAGGAGCGTTCCCCTGTTGCTTGATCAGAATAGATTCAGGTGTGCACGCCCTGGCTTGGCTGTCAGCACCAAGAGCCCATCGCAGGCAATCTGTTCCCAGCTCTTCAGCTCGAAAGAGGAGCTGCCTGGCCCTGGGGTGGGGTGGAGGTGCATGCTTTTAGGAAGCCAGAAGCACCCAGGAATGTTTTAGGGAGGGATGGCTTTAAACAAGAAACCAGAGCATACACTTACTCCTGATCTCTTTGCTGAATACTTTATAAAAGTGCTAGACTTGAGGGGAACTTTCTTTAACTGACATTTCAGCTTCCCATATGAACTGGAAGTCCAGGATGTTTTGTTTTGGGTTTATTTTTTGAAGTTTGCAGATGTTTGCAGCTTCTGCAAAATTAAGAAGCTTTTTGATGATACAAAACCCCCTTCTTTTTTGAGTAACCCACTTTTGTTTCAAACTGCAAACAGGGGTCCTATGAAAAGGAAGTGGGGAGCGCGCCACAATGTTCCAGGGTGGAAAAAGGCTGTATCAGGCTAACCGCCCCCCCCCCATTCATTCCCTTGCTGTCAGTATTCTGTATCCCACCCCAAAACAGCTGCACCAGCCATTACCCACCCCGCCCAACAGATTTCAGAGGGGGGTGGGCCAGGATCCAAAGTGGACGGAGTACATGTGAGTCTGTCTTTTCCCTAACAGTCATAAATTTGGGGACAGAAGGTGGGGAGAGGACCATGGGAGCTTAGCAACATGGCAGCTGATGGAGGGGGATCCTGCACTGGACCCGAGCCACATTTTTGATTGTAAAGGCCAGACCGTTCGACATGTTCAGCTCTCAAAGGGGGTGGGGGGGGGAGGATTCCTCTTCTTAAGAGGTTTCGTTACCTGAAGTTATTTCTGCTACTTGTCCCCCCGCCCCACCCCATATTTCCCTCTTGTGAGGCTATGGTGGCATTTTGCCCACGCAAGGATCCGCATGCATTCCTCGGCTTTCCTAATAAAGAAAACAATGACCTTCAGCCCTCCATCGATTCATCTAGCTGTTTTAAATTATCATCTACAGCTGTGTTTCCCAACCTGGGAACATCCAGTTCCCACAATTCTTTAACCAGGTGGACAATTGCTGAGAATTCTGGGAATTCAAGTCTTCAGCTCCGGAAGTTGCCAAGGCTGGAAAATGCTGATCTAAATAAATGCCACTGCAATAGCCTACAGCAGCAAAAATAAATACGGTCTTTTCCAAACCTGTCTCACAAGCAACTGAACGACTTCTGTAGGGTCATGCCTAAGGTTTCACATTTAAATTTGATTGCAAACTTCTCAAGACGGTACAAGAAGGTATTTCTTATGGTTGGGCCACCCCTTACCACAGCTACAGGAAGGGCAGCACCCAGACTTCTGTTTACAACGCAGCTCTGTTGCAAACGGACAACTGATGGGCTCCCTCGGTTGGCATGAGACGTTCCTGGCCTGAATAAAGACTTCCTCATTCACACGGACACATTTTTTGATGATGCAGGGATCAGACGGAGACGGCCACTCAGAGCCAACCTAGGAATGTGAGACAACGGAAGGGTTAGGCAGTACGAAGACCACCCCTCTCTTTGTAAGTCACTCAGGGAAGAGATGTGCGTGCTTTTTCCCCTGAAAGAAAGCAGAACATGACTTTCCTCACCTCTAAGGAAGAGCAGAGCCTAAGATTAGAAGTAAACAGCCTCCCATATCATATATTTAGCAAATCTCTTCCAGTTAAAAGTTTTGAAGTTTTGGGGAAAAACTGGAAAGCGATTGCAGTAGTTCTCTTCCATTCTGCTGCAGTGTGGAAGAATAATATCCAGTCAATGCCAAGTGGCTATTCTCTGCCAGAACCTGGCCTGTATGGCTCTACTAGTTCCTTAGAGCTCTTGGTGGCTTCTGGTATCCCTGGATCAACAGCGGGAAAGCAGAGAATACAAAGATGGGAGGAGAGGGTTGGAGGGACCTCTAAGAAAATGCCTTGCCTGTGGGTGACCCCTCTCCTGTTCCATTTCACAGAGGAGAAGTCCAGGCAGTCTTGAACTTACTCCAGGGAGACAATGAGCTCCTCTGATAGGGAGGACTCTCTTCTTCCAGTCCATGGAAGAGGATCAGAAAGGGAAAGGAAAAATAGTGCGAGTCCCTGACTGAATGCACAAACGATGTCATGATGGGCCTTGATTTCAGCTGAGCGCCTGATCAAGCCGCTCCTGAAATTCTGAGCACAGCCCCTCCAACGTTTAACTCTGGAGGGCTGCTGCACCCTGAACACCTGAAATGTTGTTGAAGCAAAGCGGTCCTTGAAGCTCTGCGCAGCTCTCTCGATTCACGGCTTAAGTGTTTCCTTCCAACCAGTCTTCACAAGAAGGGAAACGGCACTCTGTTGTCTGCACGAGAAAAGCAGACGCCCCCATCCTCCTTCACAACTATGCCTTACGTTATGCCAAGTGACGTCTTCATCTCCTCGAGACCAGCGTGACGTATCTTCACACATAGTTCTGAGACATCTTCCACAGCATGCCCCTTCTTTGTTGACGTATCTATATCCCTGGAAAATATGTAACAAACAAACAAAATCAAACATGTATAACTTTTCTTGTATAATGTATTATACATTAAATCATTGGCATGTTCTGTATGTATGTTAATAGCCTGCCCAATAAGAAAAGTTACCTGCGCTGATTAAAAGCTCAAAGAACCTACAGACAACAAAATACAATAAAATTAGCCCAATGAATCAGAAATTCTTCAACCAGAGGTTGTCTGGATGGGATCATGGCCTTGTAAAGAACAGCAAAAATACGCTCGGTAAGAAATCAGCAGGTAGCCACAGCCATTAGCATGGGCGCCCCAAAGGACACCTGCTACTACCTCAAATGCACTGTGTGATTCGTAGCCTTGAAAATCCAAGCTGCCTCCCCTCTTCCTCGTGGCCCAGTTACGGGGCGACCTTCCCCAGAGGCAAGCGTGACACCTCCGTGGGGGAAACTAAATACTTTCCCAGGCAATCTTAAAATCTGTTAGTGCTTATTAAATTGTTTGCTGCACTAACATTGTTGCTCGCTGCCTTTACTCTGGTGGTTTTATTCTATTTCAGACTTCACAGTTCTGTTTTACGGTTTTAAATTATTGCTGTAAGCCACCCAGAGAACGGTGGTATTTAGAGGAATATAAATATTATAAGCTATGGCAAAATTGCTCTGCTCTGTCTTAATTAGAAGCACAAGGAAGTTCATCCATAGCTTTACATTAAAACAATTAAGGGTTTTTTTTTAAATCGTGAACTTTACTTATTTATGCCGCCCACTTTGCAAGGCTTTGTCAGTTGCAAAAAATGAGACGAAAATTGCATGGACCTGATCATGACAGATATCCGCAACTCAGGCCTCTTGTGGCAAACCTACCCCCACAAAACACACAGCGTGGCTAGTCAAAGAGCAAATCTGGGGGGAAGCAATTGAAGACAGCTACTGCAGTAGAAGTTTTCCAAAAGTACTTTCCACTTCTGTAAAATGCAAATCTCCAATCTTGGGGGGGGAAGAACAAAGTGGAAAGGGCACAGGAGCGTCCCTTAATAGTCCAGGAACAGCATAAGCTCCTGAAAACCTTCCTCAGGATCCACCCTTGTGAGAAATACGGCGCGTGGGTAGGAGAAACCAAGCCTCCTCCGTTTTAGGGGCAAAGCACTGGAACGCTCTCTCCTGGGCCGTCCCTCCCAACAGAATCAAAATAGACTCGAACAGTTAATTCTGAATTTCATGGATGGAAAGTTGGGGAGTGACCCTGAAGACCATCTAGTCCAGCTAACCTGCCCAGGGTTGGAACCCACTATTACAGCATCCCCACACTGAATGCTTAGAGGTCTGCTACGTCTATGGGGAAAGGAAGAAAGAAGATCTGCTCCAAGCTCACCACAAAGCAGCCGCGTTTAGAATGCCCCGGTGGGAGGCTTCTTGGGGCCCTGTGCTCGAGCCAATCAACGTCCGAATCGTCTTAAAGGCTTTGTATACTTTAGGAACAAAACCCTTGAAATGTCTCAAGAGGTTTGCCATAGAGAGCAATCAGATGGGAAAGCCACACTCGTGACCTTTCATTTCCTGTTCTAATTTGGCGTAGCGGTGAAAGTGTTAGACAGGCACTGGGAAGCCCCAGGTTCGAGTCAACCTGCAGCCACAGAAGCTCCCTGGGGGACTAAGGAGACTCTTTCCCAGTCCAACCTGTGTGACAGGACTGTGGTTCTGGGGAAAAGTAGGAGGAGGGAGTGTTACGTATGTGATCTTGAGCAAAAGCTGGGATATAAATTTAACCAGCTAAACAAATAAATCCCACGGAACAAAAGTAGTCCATGCTGAATGCTACCTACCACCCAATCTATAAATAATTGATCAAGAGAATGGCTTTTATCCTTTTCTTAAAAAATAAGTTTTAACAGCAGCAAAAATGATACTTTACTGTCTGTAAATCAACAAAGCAATATACTGTTTGCTTTTGCAGTTGGACAACTTAACAGCATAGTGATAAAACTCTGCAGTTTTCATTCAGCGACTTGCCTGTAAATGAAACCTAAAATACACAGCAGCACGCAGGAAAAGAACTTCAGGCTGCATCTTATAGCAAATAAACTAATTAACTAGTCGAGTGACAGCTTTTGCTTTATGTCCCAAATCTCAGCCTCTGAGCATGTGCTTAATGGATTCTCCCTCTCCTTTTCTCTGTCCTGCGATCAACTGGGTCCCGTTAAAGACAGCAGCGATGGAAACTCTGCTGCTGTTTCATTGGGTAATGTTTCTCTAACTGGAATGATTTTAGAAGAGCAGCAGATCACAAGATACCAGAATACTCCAGTCCATTTGAAAGAAGTCACCCCTGTTTGACTCAAGCTCAGGGGAAATACAGACTGCTGGGTTCCTGGTATTCTCCTGCCGATGTTTCATTACCAGCCTAGGTAGCATCATCAGTGTGCTGAATATGTTACCCAGCTGGTAATGCAACATCTGCAGGAAAACAATCATTCATTCATTCATTCATTCATTCATTCATTCATTCATTCATTCATTCATTCATTCATTCCATTTGTATCCTGCCCATCTTCCCCAGCGGGTGACTCTGGGCGGCTCAATCAGATAACATCAAGAACATCAAGAACCCAACAGTTATTGATAACAATTGGGTTATCAATTATCAATCAGATAACAATCAGATAACATCAAAAACCCACCGGTTCACTCCAGGGCTACACGCATTTTCTACTAGACTGTTTGTCCCAAGCTTTAACATCACTTTGAAACGTGGGTCCTTCTGTTCCCAGCTTGGGACTGTCAATATAGCCATTCTGGGTTTGGAACACTTTTCACACCTGTGGCATTTAGCTGAGTGGCTGCTGTGGTTGTATACATACATCTTTATTTTCTCATGTTTTATGCTCTGTTTTTATTACTGACATTAAAGGCAAAAGAGTTGCTGTATACAATCTGAAGAGAAACTGAGTATTGATACTTGTTTTCTAATGTTTATATTTGTAAGCCAGTTTGGGCGCCATGCTATAGAATACCAAGTATAAATCTATAAAATTTTTAAAAATGTTCATTTAAGGCATCTTGACCATTCTGACATTTATTGAAAACTTTAAGATAGTTTCCACTGACTTCCCGAATCTTACCAATTAGCTGTAGATTAACATTTTTCCTTATCATCACACTCTCAAATAGGTAATTAAATAATTTTAGTTAATTAACTATCAACGCTTAAGTGAACAGAATTTTAATCTATTGATTAAACATGTTTAATAATTATTTGGATTCAGTCCAATATATCAATTATATTGCATTAAATAAAAACTTGAAAAAATGTGCCACTTAACAAAGCTACCTCTGATCCTGGACAGGAAGGTCGTCTTCAAAAGGGAATGCCTCAGAAGTGAATGCTTTTAGCTATTGTACCCAAAGTGGCCACTTAATCCCTTATTTGATTACCCCCTTGCAGCATTTACCCATCCATCCATCCATCCATCCACCCACCCACCCACCCACCCACCCAAAACCACACAAAATGTTCTTATTATTCCTTTGGAGGGATATCCCATTTTTCCCCAGAGCCTCGAGTCCTTCCTGATGTTACAATAAATGCATCCTGTTCTGCACGGGCGCCTCGTTCCTTGGGAAATCAGCAGCAACAGTGGCACCTGCTGGCAGGTGAACTTCATCACGGACAAGGCAGAGTCCTGTCCAGCAAGGCCAGGTCAGCGTAGATGAGGAAAGTCAAATCAAGGCAAAGCCCAGCTGCCAACCTTTGGGGCAGCCCCAGTGGGAAGGTGCCCGAGGGTTCCCACAACTACTTTTGCAGGGTGCAAAGAACTTCTCAGGCTTTGGAAGAGAATTGTCCCGCAAACCCTATTCCCTCCAAGGAGCTGCTAGGTCCTCAAAGGGCTGCATTGGTCCATCCTTTCCTTAGGAAGGAATCTTCACAATGGCTTCCCCCAAACACCATCCTCTGGCCTGGACGATTTTGAGGTAGATATCCCCGCTCCTTGTCCAGCTTTGCCATTTAATGTGCACCGAAGCCTGAAATCCAGAACTTCATCTACCTTTACATGACCGATATATCTGACGCAGTAGCGATAGCTAAGACCACATTTATGCAAAAATAAGACCATCATACTTTGCATCAAAAACTGCCAAGCCTTCATCTGGTCAACGTTTCTTCCCTTCTGCAACATGGACAGAGCAGCAGTGAGCTCTCCGCCATGCCATGTGCTCCCAGGGTTGGGCATGGAAGTATCTTGCAGAACAGTCGCGGTGCTGACTGTTTCATGATCTAAAGCCTTCAGCATCTTGAAATATGGCCCTTAAAAATAATATTTTCATATGCTCTTAAAATCCTACCTTCCTGAAAATTTTTATGGATTCTAATAATAAGCCCTTTTACGCTCATGTTGAACACATGGGGAAGAACAAACTTTGCCACTTCAAAAGAAAGCCGTCAGCGTGAAATATTACTGATTGTGCTCGGATTTTACGATCAACTTCAGCATCACCAAAAAGGCAAGGTTTCTGACTTCCCTATATTGCACAGTATTTGCCAGTTAAGTATGATTAAAAGGTGTACACCTGTAATTCAGGAAAAGAACTATTTATATTGGTCATATCAACAGCACTTCAGGCTGGCTGGGGAATTCTGGGAGTTGAAGTCCACCCGTCTTAAAGTTGCCAAGGGTGAGGAGCCCTGCTTTAAAGGACTGGACATGAAGTTTTCGATAGCTTACCGGCAGCAGAGTGTTTGATAAATCAGTTCTTGATGGTTTGCAGAATTTACCTAATTTAGCACATCCCCCAGAAATAGACTAACTGCCCACTTTGTGATTTCCTTTTCTTCCAAAAGGCCTTTCACAAGAATGTGCAGGCACTGAAGGGGAGAGGGCTCAAAACCTGAGGGACCGTCTCACCCACATTACATCGACCTGTCCCACCCGGTCTGGCGGAGAGGGCACGTTGCGGATCCCGTCAGTGAGAGAGGGTGGACTGGCGGGTCCCAGGAGGAGACCCTTCTCCGCCGTTGCCCGTGCCCTATGGAATACTCTCCCCCCAGAGGTGAGGCGGGCCCCCCTCCCAATTTTTCAGTGGGAATTGAAGACTTGGCCCTGCCAACTTGCGTGGGGCGAGGAAAGATACATCGACCCTGGGGATGGCTGGCGCCCCGAGTTTATTAACACCTAATTCATTAACATCAGCCTTTTGGAAGTATCATATAGGAAGTTTGTTTTTTAGCATATCTTAATTAATTAATTAATTAATATCTATTTTAATTAATGTTTTATTCTGTTTTTGCTGTAAAGTGCCCAGAGTCACTCCACAGTGAGATGGGTGGTGAGAAATTTGAAATATCCATCAATCCATCAATCAATCAATCTGGGTTGTGGATGACCTGCCCATCTCCTGAGCTGCACATACTGACCTGGGAGTTCTGAAAGGAAACTGTACCTGATGAATGACGGAGCTTTGCGTGTGCCTGCAGACCCATCTTCACCTCTGTCCCAGATGAGCCAGAAAGCTGGGTTTGCATTCAGGAGAACGCGATTGTGGCTGACCTTCATATATTTCTTCACTCAGTGTGAGAAAATTAGAAAGAACAAGGGGTGGAGAGCTGTTCTAGGGTTTAGGGGTGAAGCTGGGAGCGTGGAGAAAGATTGTGTGGTTTTGAGCTCAGCTGGACTTCTAATTACCTCAGCATCTACTCAGATTATGGGGTGCTGCAGTGGTAACTCAGCTCATTTTCAGAAGTTTTGAACGGGGCACGTTGTGAAGCGATCAGAGAATCGCTTCTCTGCCCGGAAGACCCACACCAGCAATCAGAGAATCCTTTGGCTATGGTTTCAGCATTATCCATGCACACTATTTGTAAAAGTATTGTGCAAAATAAGTCCAGAGCTTCCATGAAAAGCAATGTCCTGGGGGAAGAGAGAAGTCATGGCTTTCCCATCTTCCTTGCTCTCCCTTGTCCTAGGGACCTGCTCCTGGAAGGAAAGAGGACTCCTTGGTCCATGGGAAGTGACTTTTCTCCTCTGGGTCTCCAGGCGCCCTGCACTCCTAGGAGGAGAAGAGCTATGACAGAGGGCCAGGGGGTCACCGACATTCTCCTGGTGGCTCTGCTTCTTTCCTTCTCTCCTGCCTCTTCGTGTTTGAACCAAAGTACCTTCATGGGTTAAATGACAACTCTGTCCGACACTGAAATTATTAACACTGTTGATAGTCTAGCTGATATTACTGGCACTGGATATTTTTTATCTATCTTAACTGAATAATCTTAAATACTCTTTATATGTTTTGCACCTGAACGCCACCTCAGAGATGCTTTGAAACGAACTGGTTCTGAAATGCAACTTTCCTACACCCTCCTCTGCTTGTAGAGGGACGAGCTTCTAGGTGGACCTCTGATCCCTTTAGGATCCTGAGGAGCAAGACAGGCGTCAAGGGTAAGATTTCATCTTGCAAAGTTTCCATAGTTACGGACCATAATGATTACCTGGAGCAAAATGCACAGTGAATTTACACAAATGGTAAAAATGTGTCATTACCTCAACCATTGCCAACTTTTGTGCTAATTGTTAAAAACTGGATGTTGGAGAGTGGTCACAGCATCCTTCCACCAAAGAAGACCTTTTCTCACTGTTCCTTGGAGTTCTGAGCTAAACTCATATTTAATCCAACCTGACACCTGCACAGCATCTGTGTACTCACCTGGGCTTTCTGGACATTTTTTCCCCTCAGGGATTCCATCACACGCTGCACTTCCTAATTTTTTCATGCTGTACTTTAACTACTCCAAAGTTCAAAAAGCTGTTGTGTGGCTTGGATCAAAACTTGTTTTGAAATGGAAAATGGAGTGGGAGACGGCATTTTTTCCTGTAACTATCCCCCTTGTAAAAATTCCCTCTTACTTTGAAGAAAAAAGATGTTTAAACTGGCGGTGGGTATTTGGAAAGTCTACAAATGTATTACCAGATCAACTCCTATCATAAAGCAAGAGATCAGTTCTTACATTTTGTTGGGGCAAGGTATTCAAAATTGAAAAAAATGGTGTAAATCAACATTTTTTTAACTACTTGCTGGATCACACACACACACAACACACAACTGAACTGGCAACTGGCCTTGAATACAACAACAGAAGCTAAACTAAAATTGGTTCATTATATTCAGTCAAGCTGTCAATATCATATTTTATAACCTGCCCAGTAGCCTTTTAAATAGCACTATTTTGCGATTATTTTACCACACAGCTGAGGAATTAAGCAGGCCTAATTCTTTTTCTACAGTTTGGTCTGAAGGGGAATTAAACCATGGAAAAATACTTAAGCTAAGAAGAAGAAGAAACTATGGAAGAAAATTTCCCACGCCCAGGCTAATCTCTGACTTCTGCTGCTGGTGTGTTTGTTATCAAATGGGAACCACTACTGGAATTGAGGGACCCCGTCTGTCTAAAGCTACAGCCTGCAAGAGGAACCCAGAATGCTTAGAATCCTTGAGGACACTCTTGAAAGATGTCACCATCTTTCTAGAGCTAAAACTTTTTTTTAAAAAAGTATTACTTTAGAAGTGGTGGCATTTTCAGGACAATGGAATCTTAGCTGTTCTCTTCCCACCCTTGAAGTCCGACATCTGTTCAGTCTTTACACCACGGTTCCAACTGAACTTAGATCCCAGCTCACCAGCTTCAGCCCTTGGGGCAAAGCTCCAAAATATGGGTGCTCAAAATGACTGTCCTACCCTTGGAACATTTTGATCTAAGAATGTTTTGCACATTCCTAAACTGCTCATTCATGAAGTAGCATCTCTATACCTATAAGAAATTTGAAGACACCTTATTGTGGGTGTCACCATCTCCTGCATCTTCACATCACAGCAACATCTAGAAGATGAACTGAAGCTACCTCCACAACGGAGGAAATGCTTCTTGACCATTTTATTGATGCAAGAACTTCATTATTCCTGAAAACCTTTCCCGTAGAAGATTTCTCACAGGGTGAAGAGACCACATGCCACCGAAGTCTTTCTGGACTAGTATTCTTCTAAACCGAAGGCTAATAAAAGTTACTTCTTTCAGACAAGAACTCAAAAATGCCTTCCCAAGTTGCCCAGTTTTTGCTACCATTGGTACAATACACCGCACCATTATTAATAAGTAAATGGACACTCATTTCTTATGAATTCTTATAAATACTATCATGAATTGTTATAAATACTGTTTTATTTTACTATATATGTTATTCATTATTTTAGATCCTATTATACTTATTGTTTTTCTGTTATATATATAGAAGTATGTAACAGATCTACTACTAGATATTTTATTGTATCTGGCCTTGAGCCTGTAATAAACTGATTTGATCTGAAATGGAAAAAAGTTACTGTTTGCTGAAGGCAGGAGAACTAGCTACAGAAGAAGAGATGTCTCCATTCTGTGGTAAGTAAACATTAAGTCTCCCTGGAGCTATGCTTGACTTGCCATGACACATGGCTATGTTTATGCGGTTTTCTTAGCAACTCTATGGATTCCCCAGCCCTAGGATGTCCTGGTCTCCAAGGACTAACCAGTTCTTTGAAGACCATCCAAGGTGCAGGTCTAGGTGCTTCCACCTGCTGTTACCATGCAAGAGTCCAGCTAGATAAAAATCCCTATTCTAAGCAACATCTGGAAACTTTACATACCGGTGGGCAGGTCTTGCTGCATTCCTTCTCGAGACACTCTGTAATTTGGAGTCCTGTAACAGCATCTTTCATGTCCGTGCAAGAACACTCCTTACAGCCTTCCTCCCAAGTCATCCCAAGAGGATAGACAACATTGTGGTGGACACACACCTGCCAAGAATGAGAAATGGTTTCATTTCCTTGGCTTCTGGGGCGATCCTTGAATTGTTATGGTACCTCTGCAATAATGGCTATGACTTAAAATATACTCAGTTTAGATATGCTAATACTGCCCATCTCTGGGAAACAACCTTTTAAAAAGCTTTTCCTAAGGACTTTGATGTTCACTCTGTTATATGATTCTCACTGGTATGCCTTACAAAATGACCAGACAAGTTCATGGCCTTTAGGAAACCTCCATATTCAGAAGTATTCCTCATCATGTGCTCAGGGTACAACGTTCTGGCTTCCCACTTTGAGGAAAGGGGGATCTGATCCAATAAGGCAGTTTGTTATGAGTTCAGAGAGGTGGGCAGCATGAATAGACTTGAATAGACCTTGATGTTCAGAGCACCTTGAATGGCAAGGAAACAACACCAAAGGAAATAAAACCACAGTGCAGACCAGAAGCTAATGCATACATAATTTGGACACATGATGCATTGGGAAAAAAACCCTCATTTGAAAAAGAGGCCACAGTAAACAAGACCGGGGCTCTAGATATTCTCCCTGATGACACCATCATGAGTCTGCAAGATCTCAAAGCAGCTGCTATGGACAGACAGTCCTGGCGAAAGGATCGCCACTGGGTCACAAAGAGTGGACTAGCTACTAGAAGATAGTTTGACAGATACGGCCCACGGGAAAGACCAGAGCTGATGGCTTGGTCTGGTTTTACCTGCTCTGGGATGCAAGTGGTAGAGGTGCAGCCACAGTCATTCGTGACGGAGGATGAGAGGTAGCCTGGCGGGCAGGTCACTGTCGAGTTGCTGCAGCTACAAACACACTGATATTCATCGCAGCACTGAGTCTTCTTCACAGTCAGTTCACGGTGTGACGGGCAGGACGGCCTGGGCTGTGACTTGCAGGCCTCCTTTTTACAGACTGTCAACCAAATCAGAAAACCCAAATAGTGCGCGGCAGAGGTTTTTCCCATGTTATAGGAAGTGGGGAAGGAAGATGTATAGGAAACTTATACAAGAGGCCAAAGAGGGGAAATATCAGGAAGTAAACCCAGCATTTGGTGCTTCAAGGGAATATTACCGCAAGCATAGTCTGGTCGACATCCTCCAGGATTTGTCTGGATCAATTGGAGACCATTTTCACACTGAGGTATTAGAGGCAATTTACAAGTGGTCAGATCGCAGACTAAACACAGAAAAAACAAGAGAGAGATTATAACATGCAACAAGCCACAGTGCAGGATCTATTCAGAGCTCTAAGTAACCAACTTGCCTGTTGCCAACCGTGAAAAGATGGCCTGACCAAGGCCACCAACCGCCCCACCCCAGCCCCAACCTGCCCTTCGCCCACGCCAAGAACTCATCAAGCTGCGCCAAGACGGCGATCTTCTGAAAGAGAAGAGGTGGAGCAGATGAAGTTTCAAGAGGAGGCGGGAGAGTTAGGTGGGGGCAGGAAGGCTCGCCACTGGTAGCCGGAGAGGAAGAAGCAGTTCAGAAGGTGGCTCAGGGAGGAAAAATGCAAAGGTAGAAGATAAAACTCCCTGTGTGCGGGCAGATCCAGAAGTCAGTGAGAGCATGAGAAAAGGCCTGAAGCTAACTGGAGAAATGAAATGATAAGGCAGAAAACAGAATAAAGAGCAGAAGAACATAAAGAGTGCCCACTATAAGACGAGATAAAGGTAAGAATAGGTGAAATACAATAGAATTCAGAATAAGGAAGCCAGGTGCTAAGTGTCTCTGTAAAAGCATGAAAGGTCAAAATAAGGTAAACTATAAAAACACAGAGAAGAATGGCCTCCTAGAAGTATAGAAATCTTAAATCTTAATTTCTTCCTGTTTCACCAGCATATATTTGTCCTTTGTGGTCTATAACACCTAGAAGCTTTCTTTTATTATTATTATTTAAAAAAACAAAAGCAAAGCAGTCCGAGTTGGAATTCTTAGGAAGCTGAACTCCTCTAGATGGCAACGTCTACCACGTGCCCGTGACAATGGCTGTCAGGGACCTACCGCATTCAAAGACCGGGCAGCACTGACTGGAATCCCTCTGCAGTCTTGGAGCCTCGCAGGGGCCACAAAGAATGGCTGAGAAAGAGACAGAGAGAATGAGTCACATGCATCGACATCCCAAGCGGGCGAGCCAACTTCTAGGAATTCTCGAGGGCCGTTTTGTTCTCCGGACAGAACAATTCCCGCGTTTGGCACATCCCGCTGAAAAACCAAACAAACCCCTCCAACCACAGGAATGTCAGAGATTCAGAGCAGAGGCCTCAGGTGGGAAGAAGGGAGAAGGGAGAAGAGGCGGGGAAGACCTGCTTCCTGAAACACCGAGCCACGCGCGAGGCACCTCAAAATGGGTCTGAAATCAGGACTTGGGAAGAGGCGCACGAAAGGCACGGCTCCGCTAACGAATCTGCAGCACCTTCGTCTCTGCTCTGAAGACGCGAAGGGCCGTCTTGAGAGCGGTGCAAGCAGAAAGCCCGCGCGGGGGCCTCGCCTGAAGATCTCCAAGGGGGCTCCAAAAGAGGGTTTGGCTTACGCTTGGCGGTGGTGCACGGCTGAGCAGCGCAGCTTATGGTCCTGTTCTCCAGGCACATGCAGACCTTGCAGGGCTCCATGGGAGGAATCCACGTGTCCAAGGGCTATTGAAAAAGAAGAAGGGAAACCTTCGGATTGGTTTGGAAAGCCAACGCATTTGACACGAGATACAGATAATTTTAGGACACTGCCTTTTTTCCCAGTTTTACGAGTGCGCTCCTAAAAGTACTGGAAGAAAGAGAACATGTTGCTATTAGTTAAATAAAGCATACCAAATATTGACTCAATAAGACAAGTAAAGCCAGACCTTGGAAACTCTCAGGACATATAATGTTTCACATTATTCCTTGGTCATGCATTTTATAACAAAGGCACACCAGCCTATTTTATACTAAAAACGTTCCAGATTCCTCCTTCAGCATGTCCTTTTCTAAGAATATAGGCTGATGGTAAACAGACGCTGCGTTACATACTGTAAATCCTTAGAGATGCTACTAAAAAGCAATAAATAACTCTTGAGAGCAATTGATACAAAGGTGTTCTACAGATGGAGCAAAATGAGAGAAAGTATTAAATAGTCTAATGCTAGCCCTGCTCACGAGCTGAACCCTAGGAGTTTCGTTTACTATGTATACCTAGGATTTTTGCCAAAAATTCCACTTTGAAAAGGTCCCTGTGATATAACATTTATTTAATTATATGTCATCTATAAGACTATGTGGAACTTTCCAGAAAAGGATGGGCGGGTGAAGGAGAGAAGGCCCAACCGAGTAAGGATGAGGAACTCACAGATTCCTGGCCCTGGTCCCCCTGTGAATGGGACCGCTTGGAAGTTCACACTGTGTGGGGCTGGACCCCCACGCGCATTACAGAGGAAGCCTGGAATAAGTGTGAACGCAGTAAGGAAACAGAGAGAAGGATCCATAAAATTATCTCCCCAAACTCAAGGAGAATGGAAAAGACCGGCCCCGCCTATCCACAAGGGGTGGCCTGCCTGATGGCTCTCCCAATGGAGCTCTTGGGTCCCCTAATATGTTAAAGGCGACTGTCAGCCAGCCAAAAGCGGCTCATTGTGACACGAAGGAAAAGCCAAGAGCGTGTCCTGGGATTGAGTAACAGGAATACCAGGAGTTGTTATTTTTTGTATAGTTATAGAATTCATTGCCACTAGATGTGACGACAGCCCTCAGCCCGTAAGGCTTTAAGATGGACTTCACACATTCTCACGGGGAACAAATCAACCATCCACCCCGGAGCACGGCCCGGCTCCTATGGAAGCTGCTCGGTCTCCCTGCCGGTTCCCATGTCCTCGGAAGATGGCGGGAGCCAAGGGTGAACGCCCACCTGATGGCGAGCTCCATCTTCGCTGATGCACTGGGAGCAGATGTCGTCGTGAACGCAGCCGCCATCTAGGGTGACTTGTCCCTGGGGACAGAAGCAGCCCTCCGTGGGGTAGTCTGTGCAGATCTGCATGTTGGTCCCGTTCTCACAGTGTTTTGTGCAGCCTTTCTGGCAGTGCTGATAGATTAGGGAGGGTGGGCATTTCATGGCTGCAGAGGTCAAGAAAGCAAAGGAAATAAAACAAAGGCCATTGGAAAATAAACCGAATAGCCCTGGCAGACTGCAAATTAGTAAGAAAGGGTCAGTGTAAAATTAGGCTAAAAATAAACAAACAACCTCTAATCCACCCTGGATGCTTGAACTAGGTTGGAAAAAAAAATCTAATTCTGCTAAGTACAATTCCTGCCAATAATGAGAAATGCCAAGAATGCTGCTTCAGATTTTGATTGTGGGACACTGCTGAGCAAATTCAACGTTAAAGTGCAAAAGAAGCAGTCTGTTTCGGACCTACTTAAAATAATACCTTGGGTATTAACTAAAGAAATAACTACAGAAATGTTTTCCACCCTGGACAAAGTCAGTCTTCTCTTTCTGTGCGTGCTTCTTCCTTAAAGGCTTGAGAAAGTGCTCCAACTTTGGTGAGAGAAATCCAACAACAGAAAACCCCACCAATCTTCTTGATGGGAATTTGTTAGGTACACGTGGCGGGAAGTGATGGACCAAAAGCCTGAGTAGCCTCTTCCCCTACTTCAACTCTGGAGGGGCCCCAGATGATCATACTGAGGCTCTCAGAAGATTTTTGAAAGAAACAGTCAGTGCCTAAATCTAAATTCAGAAAGATTTTTAGACTTTTTTAAAAAAATCAGTATATTAAATATATTAACAGCACACTTGGGTCCCAAAGTGGCAGCTGAAAGATTTGCAAAAGTAATAGTAGTACCACTAGTAGGAGGATGAGGAGGATTTAAAAAGCAAACTTTTCTAGTGAACATTCAATCTGCTTTAGGGAATGGGCCAACGATTAGGGAATAAATGGATAACTAGAGTGGGAGGACGTCCAATTACAACCCTAAACCGGAGCCTCCAGGGCTGCGGTGTTGGCTAGAGAATGTGCGATAAGGTGGACAACACACATTTTTCACGCATTTGACTTTTCCAACACATTTGCAAATTGATGTGGAAGCATTCCAAATGAGTGTGAGGTTGGAAAAATAAGAAATTGAGAGGAAAAAGATTAATCGATCCCCACCATCCAGAGTATTTAGTCCAGGTGGTTTCAAAAGCCACTCTGTTCAGAAGCGGAACTGCTCCAAATGACAAGAAACTGGGAACAAATCAGATTTGGGTCTGATTTTCCAAAGGCTAAATCTTAGCCTTGACATAAATTGCTTTAAGTGTCAGCCACTATTTTTATTATTAATATTAGAGAATGAATAATGGTTAGAATGAAAGGGCACAGAGTGAAATGAAGTCACGGGCGTTGCTTACATTGGCAGACCAAAAGGTCCTGCTTTTTTATTTAACTTTAAAGGCCATATAAGGAAATTCAAGGCAGTGTCAAAACAAAGGCGGCCTTCTTATCAGAAGGAGTGAAATTCTCACCACAGAAGTCCGGGGTTCTCCAGTCCACACAAACTCCGTGCACTCGGCAAAGATGGGCGTAGGACGCTATAACCTCACACACTTCCTCCCCGAAGCAGTTGTTTTCTTCACACGCTGCGTAGAACGTGTTTGGAGGAATGACCTGATGGCAGTCGTAAAAAGAAGGCGAAAGCAAGAGGCTGCAGCGCGTGGTGGCATGCGCAGCGCAACTCTCGGCCCGCCTCTCCTTGCAGATCCTGCCGGGTTGCTTGACGGTCCAGTCCTGGATGAAAGTGCTGATGTCACGAGCGATGGAGTCATTCTTTAGCAGCAGGTCATTCCCGCTGTTTTGGTCACAAACCCCTAAACGAAACACACGGGAAAGAAGTCTGCAATTCCGCAACACAGACCGCTGGGACTGAAAAGGCCGTTCTGCCTGGAAGGGCATAAAATGAGCCCGCTCAGAATGTCTGCTCATCCACCCACCTTGTCAGCCCCTCTCCTAGACTCCAGCGGAGGTCTCCATTGATCAAAAACAACAAAACTGTTTTTGTGTAGAGAGTTTGGCATGTGGGCATTTCTTGATAAAGCAGTGTGAACACTGACTCGTTTTAGACTTACCACCTTGCCGCATAGAGGAATACAGGACACCCGCAGCTTAACAGGCTAACAGCGGAAGGGGCGCCTTCCATTGCAGCAGAACCTCTGTTAAATCCAAATGGTATTTTACACATTTGTAAAAGACAAAGTGCATTTAACAGAAGTCCATTGAATCAAGGATTTACTACGTAGTTATTAAAGTGCAAAGAGCCTTGGTAATTGCTGAACAATCAGAAATGGCACTTCAGGAGTGTTTTTTCTAACATACCACAAAGTCCATACATTTTTGAGGCAAAACTCTTTGGGCTAAGTTGCAATGTGAATTCATTGTTGCTTGGAGTGAAGGCAATGGTGTGGTCCTCTTGCAAGAACTTGACTTCATGCATTATTGTCCCGTAGACATTAACTTCAACTTGACCGTTACTGTATGGGGGAATAACTGCTTTGCCATTCACAGCCACCTGTTTTGAAGAGTTGGGTAAAGAAAAATAAGACCACAGAAGTCAGGCACTTCAACTATGAAACAACAGGAATCGGAAGAGGCAGCTAAAATCCACAATCAGGTTGAGAACACAGTATACAAGAGGATGCTTGAATGGAAGGACAGCTGTCCTGGGTGGGAAGCTCACCTTGTCTTCCCAGCTGGTGGAAGGATGGCAGGTGATACGAGCCCCAAAAGTGTGTGTGTGTGGGGGGGGGGTTGCTGATCTTTTCTGGCATGGCTGCCACGTTTGCGGCATACCGGACCTCTGGGGCGACAGATCACGAACAGCGCTTTGCAGGGGCTACTGATTCACACAAGGCTGTCTAAAGCAAGCCACCACAATTAAATGGCAATCTGTTCTGAATTACCCTGTTTTGCCCTGGAATTTGGGTTTTGTCCAGATCCAGAGCACAGCCTGACAGTATATTCCTTTTATATGGAAGGACGATTCACTCTTGTACATCAAGACTGATTACTGCAAATGTGGTTGGAGTCTTTTTATAATGTGATCTCTCTTTGAATGAATGAAAGCCATTTACTTATCTGAAAGGAAGTAGGGGGGGATTTTGGGATAACTCCATTCACCTGAAGTTCTTTACTACCAAGAGTAAATCTTGTCTCTCTGATCTCACTGACGCTGCAGAGACATTGGGAGCTCATGATACGAACAAACTGAAAACATGGGCAGACATTCAAGCAAGGAATGCTTGTTTGTCAAGCAGGATCCTCAATGCCAACGTTGTGACTCCTACTTCCTTTCCTTTCGCTGGCTCCAACCTACTTGTTTTGCCTCAAAATGAAGCTTGCTGGGCATTTTAGCCACCAGTCATTGTACTGTATTTGTTGACTCACCTCTCATGGATCCATCATAATTAAATCAAAATAAAAAGGAGCCACCTTGTCACTTGACCTACCATCATTTTTTCCCATGTCTATCTCTTACCGTCATGTTGCTGTAGAGCTGCACAGAGAAGCCCTTGTATGTGACCTCCATGGCATTCATGCAGTTGAGTTTGGGGGCTGAGCTGCATGCTCCATTGTGAAGAAGCACTTGAATATCGTCGTCTTTGTCTTCAAACAAGGTGTAAGAACAGTTGCCCGTTAGCTTAAAATCCAGTCCATCAAAGGTGACAATATGTCTGGTTGAACTTCCCATGCATGTGCCTATAAAGAGGAAGTTAAAATATGACTTTCAGATGACATTATTTATTTGTCACATATCCCTTTCTCTTTTTTTGCTGCACACGTGTAAGACAACAGGGAAACGTCAGCAATCACACTTATTGTGGCTACTTCAGGAACCCCACTGCGTGCAGCTCTCCAAGTAAGGAGGGTTGCAGGAGTCAGAGGACCTAAAGGCTGTTACGACTTTGCTAGCTGTTGCTTTCTCCAGTCCAATTCCTGGTTTGAAAAGTTCACTGTAGAAACAAGCTCAGTTGCTGGTCGACTGCTCACCCTTGCCCCCCAGTTCAACTATCAGCTGGCTTTTGGATGTGGGATCAGGACCCGTTGGCCCAACGACAGCTACGCTGCACCTCTCTAGTCACCGTCCTTGTAGCTGGATGGCTGTGAGTTAAGAGATCAGCAACTCTGGTGGGCCACCATTCCCCAGCTGCTGTTCCATGCCCTCTGCCCCTATACTCCTACCCCCCCCCCCCCGCAGGACTCTGTTAAAATGTTGTGGGATTGACTGAAATATGGGAATATCTTTTAATATCAAATGGGGACTTCTCAGAATGTTATCTGCATTTCAGCGTGAAGACGGTCCTTCAACAGGAAAGCAAATCTGGCAGAGGAACGACTATTTATACAAATGCGCCCCACCACAAGCTTAAGGAAAAGAATGTTTGCCCTCACTGAGAAAATGAATGTCTTCAATTATGTTCTGGGATATGGAGCCTTTGCTCTGTGCTATTTCTCTTCATAAAAGTCCCCTAAGAAACACACCCTTGGAGGCAGAAAACAATTTACTTTGGAAGAAGAAACATTAAGATTTTTAAAATCAACTGGTGTTCCCTAAAAGTTAGGAAAGAAATGCCCCATTTCTTTCAATATATATTTCATTTACAATGCAGTGTGAAGCAAGACATCTCAAAAGCCCTCCAATTATATCTTTCCTGCCAACCACACCTTTGAAGGCAAATAGTCTCCGAGGGCAGAGGGAAGGGGATCCTGGAGAAAACGGTGTCCAGCTGTGATCCAGAAGTGCAACTTGCAGCTGGGTGTGTGTGTGTGTGTGTGTGTGTGTCTGTTTCTTCTGCACAGATCTTATTAAAAAGTGGATGAAGGCAACCCTACTGGGTGATGGAAGAAGACTGCCACCAACAAAGAAATGCGCTCAGGAAAACCTACCAGGACAGGCAGGGAATTTTCCTCATTTCAAACATTTTTGTAGCATCTATTACTTTAATCACTGAAACTCAGGCCAGAGCAAGAGATGTGTTCCATCGTAAATAGCCAGAGTTTTGACACAGGCAAAGTTTTCCGAAAGGCGATGCTTGTCGGGGAGGGTATGAGGATTGAGGCCCTGGGTTGGACCACAAGGCCGCCAAGGTCCTTCCCCACCTTAGGACTCCACGAAGCCTGCCTGGGACCATTCCCACGACACTCTGTTCTCCTCTAAAAATGGAGGCCAAGCAGTGACTTCTTTGTGGAAAGACAATTCAGCCTGAAACGACAGAAAGATCTACCTTCCCGAAAACTAGAAGGTTCCAGAGCTCAATTTTCTCTGACAGGCTGATTTTCTACAGGCAGGAAATAGACGTGGAGATTGATCTGGTGAAGCCATCTCCAGTGACCTGAGTCCTGCTACACCCTAAAATGGCAGTGCCCAGAGAATCACCGATAACTGAAAAGTTAAGAAAACGAGCTTCTCTGCAAATAAAGACAAAGGATCCCTGGGCTCCATGCAGCCCTTGACAGATATTTTTGAAAATGGTCCGCCTTCCATCAATAAAATTTAAATATAAAAATAACCAAAGAGTATTTAAACCTTTAACATGAACATTTGAAGACCCAAGCATACATAAGGAAGATCAGAACAAAAATACAAAGCATGTCACAAAACCACAATGGTGCTCAGTTTATGTCCTTGACAGCTTTCAAAGGGGTTTCTATAACCTTGAAAGCAGCTTACTTCTATGAGTTCTTGTTTCTGTGTCAATTAATACAATTCAAATCCTTGGCAGTAAATCACTTGATTGTAAATCCCGGGTGTCAAATACTGTTGCTCAGTGTGGAGGTTTTGTCACATAACTCTTTGCTTTCAAGAGCAGAAGGGTTCCTTGTATTCCACTCCACACTTCACATGGTTGCCAGAAGGCACTCTATATTTGTCCCCTTCACAAGCTCTGCACTTGCATATAAAGATCAGAAAGTACAGCTGAAAATTACAGCCCTGAGCCCTAACTAGCTGGAGAAATCCACCAGTCAGGGCAGTTGGACTCCAGAACATAGTGGCCAATCCTGGGGCCAATAATTGAAGACCATCAACGTTTGGGAAGATTTATGGAATCCTGAAGTTTTCCCACAGCAGAATGAACATTTGAAGCGTATGGAAGAGGCTCTGGGACAGTGATGTCTCCAAAGTATGCCAGAGGCTATGACACATGTGCACTGAAGTTCAGACATGCACTAGAACATTACGTGGCTGTGTATGTTTGCCGTGGGCTTTAGATTCACAAGGAGGATGACATTACAAGGTTCTGCATTTAGCTGCCTCTTTTTAATAAATTGAACTTCTTCCCTCTCCTTTCTTTTCCCCAAAACCATACTGGCAGATTATCCTTTGCTTTGGATTGGTGGTGACCTCCTCTTTCCCTTTTTTTTTTGGCAGAGGAAAAATGTCTTCAAGGTTCTGCTAGATGGTCATTTCCTGGGAAGTGTTAGAAGATGTTGCCTGGCACTAAATACTATGTTCTAATCAGCTGAAACTCCTTCTCTGAACTTTTAATTCTCATGTGGTCATATGTTGCAGAAAAACTACTCACATGGACACACCCAATGGCAGCCGCATGTTTCTTCCACTTTAACAGCAGGGAAATTGTTGTGACATGTTGGCTTGGCCATCTTCTCACAAATATATCGGTGGCTGTTCAGTTCTGTGCGGCCACCCGGTAAGCAAGTCACAATATAACACCGATCCAGCAGCTTCCATTTGTCACCGGGCTGTACAAAATGACACACCAAAGTTAAAATAGGATCTGAGATTAAGAAAACCCTCAAGGGACACTCCATCAAGTGGTTTCTGTTCAGTAGGCACCAAACTGTGATTTACCATCTAAAGGTGCATGGGAGAAGACATTCTGCTAAACAGTAACAAAATTCAGCATATTTTGCCTAGAAAAGATTAATGGGGTAGAATTGCTTTCCCCAAACTTGGGTGTCTTCCTAATGTGTAAGCTTTCGTTCGCAGACAGCATGGCCATTGCTGACAATTCTGGAAGTCCATGCACCTGGAAGGGCTCCAAACTGGGGAGAGTTGGTGTGTAGAAATACTGGACATAAATCAGTCCAAGTGAGTTCACTTTCCACTGATTTCAGTGGGATAATTCTTTCTCTCTGGAATTCATAGGACTTGATTATTAACTTTGATTCATTATGTGCTAGATTCCTAAACAATTACCATGTGGAAACAGTTTGATGGGTGAAAACAATGCTTGGTGTTATACCGGTTAGCATACCTTCCATATATTTTAAAAAATAATAACATAAGAAAAATGTTCTCAACTCTAGAAGAGAAAAAAATGACATTACTATTCAGGAACAAAAAACTCTTTAAGTGCTTCTAAGCAGAAAGTCTTGAGCTATGGCAGGAAGAAATACTGTTAATCCGGACCCTTGATGAAGAAACAGGACGCTTCAAGACCTGAGATACCTTCTAGTTATTCCCCGGTAAAAGTATCTATTTTGCAAGAGTCTGTGAATTAAGATGTTCCTTGAAAGAATCACAGCCTAAACTTTACTTCCCAGCAGTGAGTGTGGAGACTTGTTTTATCCATTCACTCAGCCCAGAACAGGGTGACCAGAAAGCTAGTTCCACTGAACCAAGCCTTGCTTCCCAACTCCATCCGCGCCCACTCTGGCAGTTTTATTGCATCTGAGCGGGCCTGCAAATGCTGCAGAATCTCCATCCATCAAACCCGGTGGAAGAAATACTTTCCCACTGCTGTAGGACCTTCTTGCAGCCAAGTTACTGCAGAACAATCATCCCCACGCTGCCCACCCAAACATATTGGGGAAAATTATATTGGTGCATTTTCCAATAATAAAAGTGGCTCGGCTGCTCTTGGCAGAGATGGAAGGATTTAGTTCCATGAATTCCTCAGCCTGATAGAAGTAAAAAAGCTTGGCAGAAGAGGGTCTGTGTTTCTTTCATTAGCGTATGCTCTGTTTATGAGATGCCAAATCATTTAAGAACTTTATAGGGGAAAATAGGCAAATTTGTCTATGAAAAATAAATTAGAAAACATCTTGAATGAACCAAGGACTCAATGGAACCAACAACACCAAAGGACATAATACAAGCCTTCCCCCTACAGACGGAAAGTCACAAAAACAGTCAGGGCAACCACCGACTCCAACTTCATCCTGCCAGAAAAGAACTGAGGCAGGCTATCTCAGCAATGCAGGATGGACGGACTCATATTTAGCCTCAAAAAGCCTGCACCTGGATTTGCTCCTAGTCAATAGGGAAGACTTAGTGCTGTAGGTAAAAGACAGGTAGCAGGAACTCTGGGAACAAAGCGTGTATCTTGAATTTTACAAAAGCAGATGTTAATAATCTCAGAAGAATGGTAAGTAGGATCCTATTGCTGGAGAAACCAAGAACGACTAGAAACTCCTATGAAATGACGCAGAAGAAACTGGGCATGTTTAGCCCTGAGGTGAAAGGCCTGAGGAAGGATAGAAGATCTTTCTCCAAATACCTGGAAGGGTGTCACATAATGCAAGACAGGAAATAATGGATTTAGGCTATCTGAAGACAGATTCTGACTGAATGTTACAAGAACTTCCTCACAGTAAGAGCAGACTGACTATGGATCCAATGGTGGGAGGGTGGTGGGTTCCCCTTCCCTGGAGGTGTTCAAACAGAGACTAGGTGGTCCCTCCCAAGAGTAGGACTCTGTAAAACATTTGCATTTTATTTACTTCGTATAGCTCTATTCCACTTTGCCTTCTCCAATTTTTCCCCGCTACGAACCCTTGTGAGGTAGGTTGGGCCAAGAAAGAGCAACTGGCACAAAGTAACCCAGGAAACTTCTATGGGTAAAGGAGGACTTGAACCTGGGTCTCCCCAACTGTAGTCCAGCATCTTACCCATTACACCACACTGTGGTACATGGAGCTATTTGCTATGACTGGGATCAGCCCTTTGAATCTGTGAGCAAGAGAGCATCATGGATCTATGAAGACTCAGATCACGAGTCTCCTTAGCCCATGGTTACCTCCTATGGCTAAGAAAAGCTGATAGCAAATGCTGATTTAATTAGAGATACTGCAGAGATACTGTGATCATCCAAACACGGACTCTGCTCTCACTCAAAGCCTTTTCCCTTTATATTTTCAGGCTCATCACATTGAAATTCTACAATAAAGAAGCTTCACCCAGCAGTAGAGACTGAAAAGTTACGAAGCAAATACGCTGATAGAGATCCAAAAAATGATATGTCACTAGGTTTGAAATATTTTCTCTATATATGTTTTCACAGTATTGCATTATTATTTGCAGGATGACTGAAACTGTTGGCTGACTTTAATGGTACCTTGGAGAGAGAAGGGGCTGAGGGGATCAGGTGTGGTCCTCGTTTAGAACCTGAGTTGTTTGCTTGCTGATGGAGGCTTTATGGACCCAAAGTCACTGGATCTTGAGCGGACCCACTAAACCAGTCCTCTCCCACCCTGTGGACTGGCCATCCGTAACAGGCAATGTATCTAAAACTCATAAAATGTAGGAACAACATACTTACTGCTCTTATATTCCCCTCTTCATCTATACACTCCCGTGCAGTCTCTGAAAAGGAAGCAATCAAAAGACATTCGTAAGACATCATCATAAAGCTTGAGATAAAAATCACACCGAAACAGATATATAAGTCGCTGGGAGTCCAGCAACATATAATTTTTCATTATTATAGTCGATCGCACAGTCAACCAGATGTTCAGACTGGATGTGGCATTTTTATCCACCTATCGAGTCCTTCCCAAGGACCTGGGAGAGGCAGATGTTGTTTGATGGCGTTAAAGGTATCGTCGTAGGATGGAGGCTGTTCCAAGCAAAGCCGCCTTCTGCAATGGACTGACGGTGATTTTGTCCATGCCAAAGGTCTTCGAGTGATGCTCCAGATGTTTTGGGATTGCACCCAAGGCGCCTGTTACTACTGGTACTATCTTTGCTTTCTTTTGCCATAGTTGTTCTACTTCTATTTGCAGGTCTTTATATATCGTGTTTTCTCCAGTTCTTCCTCTTCTGTTCTGCTGTCTCCAGGTATCCAGACTTTTTTGTCTTTATCAACAGTTGTTGTTGGTGTTGTTATCATCATCTAAGCACCCCCTCTCTTTTTAACTAAGATGTGATGGAGCCGCAATATGAAATAAATTTTGAATCAAATTATTTCCTAAATCTGACCACTAAAACTGAGATTGCACCACAGATGATCTCAGAGATTCAGGGCCAGTTGGTATAGTAGAACCTGAGTCAAAATTGAGATGGTGACTTTTCTCCAGTCCTTTCTCTCATATGCCTGGCAAAATTCTTTCAAGATTGCTGTGCCAAACAAAGTTCTTCCCTTCTCCTTGCAATCTGAAGAAAATATGGCATCTTGTGGATGACATCATGTGGATCTGCAAGGGGCAGAACGGGGTCACCCAAGGAATCCCTGGATCGAAGCTCTAGAAGCGTTGGGATGGGTGAGGATGGGTGAAAGTGGAGGCCACGTTTGCCTCCGGGCAGGAGGATTGGAAGTTTTGCTCAACAATCATTCCTGCCAACCTCTGGCCTTGGCATCTGGGCTGAAGGGGCCAAAGACAGCAACGGGCGTCGCTGCCAGGGCGGAAGCGCAAAGTCTGGACTGTTTCAGACCAGGATGCTGTCCTGGGAGGTCAGGCACGAGAGCCAGTGTGGTATCCTGGCTAAAGGGCTGAGCAAGAAACTGGGAGATGGTGAGGAAAGCCGGCTGGGGGACCTGCAGCCGGTCCCTCTCGTTCAGCCCAACCCACCTCACAGGGTTGTTGTTGTGGGGAAAATTGGAGGAGCAGGCATTAGATTTGTACGTTGCCTTGAGCCGACCAAAAGTAAAGGCAGGATAAATAAATAAAACGGAATGTGCTGCTGATCACTCTCCTTAGCGTGAAGCACCCTCCTCCCCAACCATGAGCAATTCTTCAGAAGACTCACGTGCAAAGGACAAAAAACCATGAAATCCTGCCGTGAGATCCCTGGTCAAGGAGCCACTCTCAGCTCCTTACATAGTTCTTGCACGGCTCCTCTTGTGGGAGGTGGGGTTGCTACTCCGGTAACGGAGCACTTGATTAGCCTGGGTTGTTTTTCGACAGACTGGTGCTTCTAATTTGCCGTCGTTTCCTCTGCTGATGGGGATATCCAGGAAGGGTAGCGTGCTGTTGTTTCTTCTGCCCTTGTTTCCTCCCACAAGAGGAGCTGGGTCAGATCGTTATTCAGACAAGCACAAATGCACGGCAGCAACCCAAAATAGCAGAAAGAGGAACCAGAGGAACCAGAGCCCTGCTACAGTTCAACCCTGAGCTGCATATACTCTCTTCCATCGACGCTCATATTTAGAAGCCGCCACCTTATACAGAGGCCACCGTTCACTTCACCTGTAAAGAGGATGCTTTTCCACCTCTGTCAATAACGACGATGACTAAGATCCAATATATTCCTTGAATGCCCTTGTCGCCTTTTAAGCCTCTGCAAACATTCACATTGAACAATTAACTAATTAACTGAGAAATCCTGTCTGGGCACCATAACCTGGGCCCCAGTCCTTGATTGCTTTTAATAAGATTCACCCTTCGACTACATGAGGGGTAATTTTAAAGAGGATATTCTGAAGTACTAACTTGCAAAGATAGGTTTGCTGTCATCTGCATTATGAAAACAGAATTTCTGTTTAAAACAATAAAAGAAACAAAAGAGGCAGTGGGTGAACTTTTAAAAACTCTTAACATGTGTGTGATTATCTAGAGCAGTGTTTCTC